AAGTAGCTGAGATTACAGGTGCCTGCCACTACGCCCGGCTAATTTTTTTAGTAGAGACAGGGTTTCACCGTGTTGGCCAGGCTGATCTCGTGAGACACCACGCCTGGCCGTTAAGACCCTATCCCTACCAAAAAATAAAAATTAGCCAAGTGTGGTGGCACACACCTGTGGTCCTAGCTACTCGGGAGGCTGAGGCAGGAGGATTGCTTGAGCCCAGGACGTTGAAACTGTAATGAGCTGTGATTGTATCACTGCACTCCAGCCTGGGCAACAGAGTGAGACTCCATCTCAAAAAAAAAAAAAATTCTTTTGCTTGTTAGAAGTGAATCCTTTTACTTTTACTTTTCCTCTCCTTCTGAGCCAGGAGTAACATGTATGATATAGCCAGAGGTTTTTCTGTCAGGTATAACTATAGCTGTAGTAACTCTTTCCAGTGTTATCAATTCCATTTGAGTGTAGGGCCCGTCAGAGGAAGGTTCGTGGCATTAGGCTGCTCGATTGAAATGCTTAGCAGATTACCAGTGTTCCCTCTATTCTCCCTTTGTGGTTTGCCAGTAGGAATTCCTTTCACCTTGTCTTCCCAGATTTGCCCATAACTCCCACCCTGACAGAGCACAAGGCCAGGGATAGGCCCAGAGTCCTCAGCAAATTGAACAGAATGGGCCATCTTCCTCTTCTATCCAGGGAGTAGAAACTTACTTCCCTGTTAAGTTGTTTATCCTAAATTTTGTTTGTCTAGTCTTAATGGTTTGTGTTCCTGATTATAGTTTGAAAGCTGCCTTAATGAAAGTATGTGTATGCCTGTTTTCTACAGTTTAAGATAAAACCTCGTTGGCCTTTGAGTCAAAATTTGAGATTTCTGAAACCCCAACTTTGTGTTTGACTGTAACTCACACAAACATATTAAAAACACTGTTTTTTTTGAAATCCAAACTTTAAAATAGGGTAAGTTTTGAAGGTAATTTTAAAACCAGGCACAGTGGCTTGCTCCTATAATCTCAGCACTTTGGGAGGCTGAAGCGGGAGGATCGCTTGAGCCCAGGAGTTCAAGACCAGCCTGGGCAACATAGCAAGAGCACATCTCTACCAAAAAAAAAAAAAAATTAGTCAGGCATGGTGGCACACACCTTTCGTCCTAGCTACTCAGGAGGCTGAGGTGGTGAGATACCTGAGCCCAAGAGTTTGAGGCTGCAGTGAGCTATGATCACCACTGTACTCTAGCCTGGACGACATAGACAGACCCTGTCTCCAAAAACAAAAGTGATATTTTAAATAAAATATTTACTATGCCATTAAACAACCAGTCCTTAAATTGCATAAAGCGGATCACGAGGTCAGGAGATCGAGACCATCCTGGCTAACACGGTGAAACCCCGTCTCTATTAAGAAATACAAAAAACTAGCCGGGCGAGGTGGCGGGCGCCTGTAGTCCCAGCTACTCGGGAGGCTGAGGCCGGAGAATGGCGTGAACCCGGGAGGCG